ATTAAGGTGTTTTTGTAGTTGAAAAGTACGTCAAGAATAGGCAGTCAGTAGTTAGCTTAATTCTAAAGTCAAGTAATGTGATAAAACTGGGGAATAATAATAATAAAGTATATTATACTATTTCTTTTATATACCAGCATTTTGATCATAATATCTTTTCTTTCTATACATTATTTGCAAATACTAATAGTTATTAAATATTAGTTTTGACCATTTTTGTTTTCATTATGGAGTTAAGTCAACAAGAAAAATGAAGAGTTATGCACCATATCTTTTCGTCGCTTAACGATCACTGGAATATGGCTCTGAATGTGATAAAGAAATCGCGAACCATTATATTAAAGTGAGGGTTATTAGATTACGTATTAGGTCCACTGATTTGTACACAGTTACATAATAAAATCGGTAATGTTAGTATTACTAAAAGTCTTGTCCTATAAGATTACCTTTGCAATCTTAAGTGTTTGAAACTTATAGCATTAGGTACTATATTAATATTGATATTTTGTACTATTTGATTGATAATTCTTTATCATTACCTTATATACACAAAAGTGTTTACAAATGACAGAAATCGTTTTTCACAGAGTTCTTTTCATATAAACGATCCTAATCATCAGAATCATGTTATATTACATTATATATGCGATACAATCGGAAATATTCACATTGTTGACTAACGAATATGGAGGTTTTACTATATTCTTCATGTCAACAGCTCATATTATCTGATACTAGTTGAATGCATTGTATTTGATGGATAATATTATTTCGATAGTTCTAATGACTCCTATTACTCTGTTATCCATGTATTGTTTATATGGTAATATTATCTATATGTAGGAATTGTTACTATCATTTCAATATGGATGATGTTATTTATCCACCATCCCTTTTGTGGAAACGATATTTTTATAGTCGAAATCACCATCTTACACAAAACGATATTCCATATACCGTTTTTCTCTGAACCAAAAGAGCATACTTAATTTTGATTGACTTAAGAATATTTGAGGCAGATCAAGTAGTGATTCATATGAAGAATATTTTAGTTTGCACATATTAATCCTTATAATGTATCGTATTTTAATAGTTATTTCTATACTATTTTCTATATTATGTCAGTATCATTCTTTCAAATATAATCTCTCGCTGAAAGAAAATGAAAGAAAGAAACTATCGACTAAAGAATCTATAAAATCTGTGATAAAACCAAATGGAATAACAGCTAGTATTACTACAAAGAAGGCAATTAAAATTCAAAGCAATGTTTGCAATTCTACCTTAGTCTATCCAGAATATGCCCATTCTACTCAGTGCTATCCTCAATTGTATTTGTAAATTTATATTTGATGATTATAGACATATCCAATCTCTATTTGTCCACAAATCATTTCCTAATCCGCGACCACCAATTATGGAACGAGGGATTGTTTATTACTTGTATACTCAAAACAGATGTGGTGAAAATCCAAGATATCTAAAGGAGGTGGAAAGGAACAGTGCAGCTGTTAAGGCAAAAGATCCTAATGCCAAAATTGCTGTAGTTACTAACTGTGACATACTTGCATCAACTGCAAAGCTAATTGATGTGATTGTCCCAGTTCATAATGAAGATGTGGTGCAAACCAGTAAAAAGCAATGGCTCACTCGTGTGTTGTACAATGCTTATCTTCCATTCAATTATTCTTTTATCACGGATACTCATGTTTATCCTTGTGATAATAAGTCCTATACAGATATCTTTGATCAATTCAAAATATCCAAGATCGATATATCGTTTTCATGTAGAGTGAACCGTGGACCTTATCCTTCTGGAGGAGCCGTATTATCAAAATGGGGAAAAGGAAGTTATGAATTTTGGATCAGAACCTATAAACTCCAAGCACGAAAACACATTTTTGATGATCAAAGTCCGATGTATTCAACCATGAAAGAGTACCGAAACAAATTGTTTTCATTTAGATGGTTGAGCAGTAACTATTTTTATGCTTCCCATGGAATTACGGAAAAGGGAGTATTTTCAGGTCCTGCTCGTTGTTACAGGAGTTCAGTAATTGTGACAGGTCCTTTACGATGGATTCATGGAAGTCCAGATGAATGTGAAATAATGAATGGAAAAGATAGAGAACTAATAAATAAACCTAGAGCATGGTTCTTAAGGGGCATATGCAATACCACAGCCAAAGGAATCAAAGTTATAACATCTAGTGCAGAAATGAAGAAAGCCGTTTATCCTTATGAAGCACCCAAACTTGATTGGGATGTAGATTACAATAAGAAACCAAGAACAGAGTTATTTTGGGAATATTGGCGTGTTTGTTTCAATTCATAATTTCAAATATCATACTATCATTATTTGATCGATTGGTTTGTTATATCCTGAACACATTTAAAGAAAGAGCATGATTGTCGAAATTAGCAAAAATGGATAAGGAAGATTTCCATAGTTGTAGAATACATCTATATTGAGCGATTCCATTTTGAGATGCAATTCTTCGAGAATTTCAAGTTGCAGTCGCTGCTCTTTTAAATCACATGAAAAGTGCTTAGCAGCTTCCTGGAATTCTCTTGTATGCCCTCTTGCTGTAAATCTATGGAATGTTCTCTTAGAATATGTACATCATATGATGTCATTTCGATTATACTTGTGAATGCTACTACCCTACTGAAACTCTAAAGATCTGGTATAGAATGCTATGACCTCAGTTTTGTTGTTGATTCTATATATTATGTTGATGAATAGTTGATCTCTAATTCTCCCAGCTATTTCATTGACGATTCATACTATGTCTTCGGTATTTTGCTCGCTTCTATCTCTAATATCCAGACTAAGGCTAAGGACTCTGCTAAATCTATGAACCCCATCTTTGTTGCTACTCCCAAGAACTTTCGCATTGGAGGAGATGTTCTGGTACGATAGCGTTCCGTTGGCCTAATTTCATAGCCTAAGAAGGATCTCTCCCGATTCCTGAAATAGTCTCGTTACGTGATCATCCAGAGACAGCGTAAGATTCTGAGCCAGCGTCTGAAGGTTCCTCCCACCGTGAACCAGTTCAGCCATGTGTTGGACAAGAACCAGGCTGCTGAGGTGTTCCGTCTGATGAACAAGTACGCTCCTGAGACGGAAGCCGAGAAGAAGGCTCGTCTGGAGGCTGCTGCCAAGGCGAAGGCTGAGGGCAAGCCCGTGGAGGAGAAGCGTGCTCTGGTTGTGAAGTACGGTCTGGACAACGTGACGAAGCTGGTGGAGCGCAAGAAGGCCAAGCTGGTTCTGATTGCCAACGACGTGGATCCCCTGGAGCTGGTGATGTGGCTGCCCGCTCTGTGCCACAAGATGGGCGTTGCGTACGCGATCGTGAGCGGCAAGGGCCGTCTGGGCGCTCTGGTGCACCAGAAGACCGCTACTTGCGTGTGTCTGACGGGAGTGAACCCTGAGGACGAGGCGGCGCTGAACTCGCTGCAGGAGAGCTTCACCACCAAGTACGCCGAGAACAAGAAGTGGGGTGGCGGTATCATGGGACTGAAGACTCAGCGCAAGCTGAGCATTCGTGCCGCTGCCATCGCTGCTGAGAAGGCCAAGAGAGCTTCTCTCTAAGCTGATTGTGAGGCTACATGAAGAAAGAAAGGAAGAAAGGAAGGGTGGAATCGTCATTGGTGGAGTGTTTGTTCGAATACTGTGTGTGTGGATGGATGTTTGGTGAAATGCCAAGATAGAATGAAACCATTGGCAAGGATTTCTTTGACCAAGTGTGTATTGAACTACATTGAGACAATCGATAATGATTTCAGAAGGTAGAATCATCAATATCATTCATTCATTCTGTGAAGAATCATCTGTTCTTTCACTCCAAATCAAATCAAATCAAATCATTCCATTTCTTTCTATTTCATCAAATCATCACACACATCATTCATTTACTTATCAACAAACAAGTCACTCCAACTGGGCCAATGTATTCAACGAATTTTGATATCTCCAAACTACAACTCATTCCTCCTGTCCAAAACTTACTATAACTGTGATTTCTTCTCTCATTCTCTATGATACCAATCAGTTTCTCACACCTCTTCTCAGTATCTTCACTCTTCTACATATTCACACATACTTCTTCCAATTTCAACTGAATCCGATCCCATCGACTCTTGAACAACGAACAATTCTTCATACACACTACTCCACATTGTTCGTATCCACATTCCTCCGACAATGAGCTTTGTAGCATTCATCGAAAGCCACACAGCATCGTAAAACAATCTCCGATATTTTCTCCTGAACAATCAGTAAATGATTCCTTGTCGTCAATGGGTATGCATTGCCTAAACAATACACCGAAATACAGTCTTCCATCTCATATTTTCCATCTTCTACACGAGACAACAACTCACGTTCTTTGCTGTAAATCTCATCAAAAGGCTACAATGAATCAAATCCAATTCAAATTCTTACCATTACAATGCCTCCGATGGCTACATTGGGAGGTTTGGCTCGCGTTTTGTTGACTTGTTCACCATCAAGATAATGTCGCATTGTTTGGAGATCGAAGAGAACCATTTGCAGAGGACGCGAAACCATTCCGATCATTCCTATCATATACCATATCAATGTTGAATTCTGATTCCACAGCCTTCCAAACAAGGAATAGCGCTTTTTCGATTTGATATAGGGACTTTGCAGTGTGATTTCCCCATGGAGTGTGTGTGGAATCGCTAAAACGTTCACTTGTTGGAAGAATATGTAGAGCCAACTTGTGAAACCCATCATTGCATCGATTCCAGACAGAGATATATTCACGATCTGTGCATCGATATACTCGCTCACATAGGAAAGCATGCGAACAAGTGACAATGTGCGATTGGATAAAGCGGTAATCACATTCTCTCCCAACGTTTTGATGTTTTGATAGAAGGAAGAAACGAATCGATAGAGATTGCCAGATGTTTTGCTCTCCAAACCGATAAAGAGAAGACTGAACAGCAAGGACTTGCGATAGGTGGACAATAGCTGAGTAAGCACATAGCTGATTCGTCGAGGATATCGTTCATCAATACTGATCTGTGGGAAAACACACTTCAAATCCTGGATAGTAAAATAGTCGTAACTCGAGGACATAAATTGGGATCCCAAAGCCAGATAGATTGACAGGTGAAATCTTTAAGAACTGGATGCGAGTATGCCTCGATTCTTCGTATAGCTGAACTCGCGATAATGGCTTTGAAATCATTGCAGACAGCGGGGTGGGAGGATTGCGGGTCGGAATATCTTGTTCAGCGTGATGAATCGTCCATTTCACATAGGAAGGAAGAGATCGGACGGTGGAGGGTAACTGCAGCTGTTTTCTACCGACTCTTTCGGGATTATCGACGGTATTCCAACTCTGATAGAGCTGTAAACAGGTGATCAGCAAATTGCTCTCGATACAAACATGAACAGCGAGGAGATGAAGATTGATCGATCGATCGACGACAATAGCTTGCAGTTGCCGAACTCCCTCATCTATATTATACACAAAAAAAGGAAATCCATACGACAACACATCATTATCAGTACTTTATTGTGTTTGCTGATACTAACGTAATAATAATATCAAGACTAATTTAGAACAATATGGAGAATGTTCTGTAACATTTGCTTACGAATAGTTTTCGCTGTACAAGTAAATGCCAACAACTAGTTTCATCTCTATATCTCACTCATTCGTATGATAATGTACAAGTAATATGACTCAATACTATTTTACTAAAACGATATTTTGGTTGTTAGTCATACTTACAAATGCCCAAATAGTACAAGCCGATTATGGATCAAATGCATAAAGTATTATGCATTCATAGCATAACATCAAATGGCATTATAGATCATAACAAGATATGTTAAATAGTTCAAATTCTTTTTTACAAGAAGGTAGCATGAATTTTATATTTTATGCACTTTCCTTTTGCTCATTCTTTGTATATATGTACATACTTTCCACTATAAGACAAAGTAAAGAAGCAAAAGAAGTATATGGCTCGACAGTACAAACACTGTATAAAGTAAATGATGTTGTTTCCTACCCTGTAAAGCTGCCAAGATTTGGATGCTGTTCCAAAAATCGTAGTGCATTGCCATTCTTATGATTGTATAGAATATGATTATGACGATATTGAGTATCCTGTTCCTTTCAATCAATTAGTATCAGACGTTTCAACACACTACGAGAACTATGGAATTGCAAATAAATCATTACCATTTCTTCTAACTGGAGATATTCCCACCTATCATTTACACACTTCAGATGTATTGATGATGACAGGTGCATCAGAAAATCATGGTTATGGTTCCTTTAATTGTCTATATTCTATGGTTTTGGCAGATCCTTATGCCTCATATATGTATATTGATTTAGGTTTATCGCCTGAATTGAAGGAGAAGTTGTTTGCTCATTTCGAAACAATTCACCAGATTCAGAAGAAAATGAAATCCACTGGGTTTATTGCATATCGCAAATTCAATTGGAGTTCTTTTCCCCAATGGATGAATCTGTTTGAGAACAAGGATCAGCGTGGTGGTTATACTTGGAAAGTGGTGTCCTACATGGATGCTTTGTTTTCGTGGAAAGCAATAACATTTTGGATTGATGGAGGAAGTCTTATCCGAGATGGAATCAGCAGAGAAGTGACAAATGCTCGTCTTGAAGGAATCTATACTCCTGTATCTGGTGGTGGTGCAGAGAAATGGACACATAAGACTACGATCAAGTTTTTAGAGCAAAACCACTTTATTGATTCATTTGATCCAAAATGGAGAATGGGTTGTGGAGGTCATTTGATTACTGATTGGTCCAATAAAACTGTCATAAACAGAGTGATAATACCATATCAACAATGTGCTTATACACAGAGGTGCATATCTCCACGAGGATCGAATATGACAAATCATAGACAAGACCAAGCTGTTCTATCAGCATTGGTGAACAATATTGGCACTATCAAATCAATGAATGCAAAATACCAGGCACTACCAGCATTACGCCAAGAAAGAGGAAACAATGAAAAGTTTTGTACGAAGATTCTGAACAACTATTTAATCAGTATACAAAATACATATCAAATAAAAATCGAAAATAGATATTATAAAACCACCAATATTTCGTATACACCTATAAACTATAAATTTGTATCTCGTCCAGTGGATGAAGAATGGGTACCACAGAGTTAACGTTTTTTATTTTTCTTGGAAATAACAAATATAAACAATGGACTCGTTTTAGTATTATTGATCTATTTGTTATACATGCATGTATTGCTATTCATTGAAATGCACTCTTTTAACACATTATTCCTCAAAAATATTTTTAGGATTATCAGTTGATTAGCTTGTCTCATTGGTAATTTATTTGTATTATAAATGGATTTAGGATTGTTGAATAGATCTGTATATGCATTTTGCTGTATATAAATTAGCGTAAATATATGTTTGTTTATGATTGAGTAACATTAAATATTGGGTAAAGGTATAATTGTATATTTGAGTGAACAACGTAGCAAATAGATTTATCCAAAACAATTACATATTATAACTTGTACTGCTGTATCATTGTGAAGACTTCTCATACAGTACTCGCAACACTATAACATCACGTCAGAAAGAGTAATTCCGTTTTCAAGCTTATTATAAAACGTAATACACAATCAAAAAAAGATGTTCGTAGGAGATAATAGGCAGATCAATTTTATCACCAATATCATTCTCAAATCTTTGTTTATAATACTTCATATTATGGTAACAATTACATCAGATAAATATAAATAAATATATTTATATTACTAAATTTGTAACATGTCCAGAATGTGGCCATTTATATTTTTTATCTGGTTTTCAAAAGTCAATTTATAATTCTAGCACAGTTATTTGATTATTTATCTACATTATTCTAGATATAAGGAAAGCCATGGATTTCGTTTGAGTAATGATGACAATGGAGACTCATGTGTATTTCAATCAGAACAAATCACAACTAGTAGAAACAATAGATACAATAGCCCAAAACTGTAACATAACACTATTATCAAGTGTAAATATTAGGTTAGCTCTAAAACTACAAGGAGCTTCAAAATCCTTTTTTAAATAGTCTGAGTTCTGAGTGAGACTCGAACAACAAAAAGGTCGATATTTTTATTCAAAACTCTCATATTCCAACTTGCCATTATATACTACAATCAATGGATGAATACCTTACTGGATTTCGAAATAACAAGAAGGATAATTCAAGGAATATGAGGGATTACTCACTAAGATGACATATATAATGGTGGTCACTAATCATCATAATAATTACTCTTCAGCAGTATTTGTATGTAATTTACAACCTATTTACTTTGTACGTCCCTTTGATTTTGATTTACTCCTGGTCGGATCACAAACAAAAAGCAATCTAAACGTATTACATAATAGTTTGCTAAATAGAGGATACTATTCCTACCATTCATTAACAGTATCCTACTTCATACATATTCAATGCCAGCTAAATTCACCATTATCTTACTTGTAGACACTATTTTCTGATCACTTAAAAGCCAATGATTGACTGAGTATATATATTATCCTACCATTATTTCTTATTTGTACTGTTGTCTCTCTCTTTTTATGTGAAATATGAGAGAATAACGCTTAATATTTCGATTATTGTCTTCTCACACAGTATGTACACTTATTCTCGAGTTGATACTCTTCAGATTTGGTATTGTCCTTAGCATACATAATATAAAATAATACAAGATAATATCTAACCATAACATTCCAGGATGGATATGTGTATAAATATACTAAGGATTGAATTACAGGTTTTTCTCAAACATTCTCTTTAAATAGCCATTGAATTATTGGTATGGATGTACATTCATTGCATCCAAGATATTAATATTAAATTGAGATAAAAGAAAAATAGTAGAATTGAACGCTCTTTTCCACATTATAATACCATATAGTTCTGGGATTCAATATTTCATTTCATAGAACAATCGGAATCACAATATTGTATACCAGGTTTATGTAAAACGAAAGGAAAGATTGTATGGAAGATATTCTTTCCTTCTCTTAATGATATACCAGCAGACTTGATACTCTCTCAGCTATTACGTGAAATATTCTAGCTGTCAGTCTAGTAAGTTTGAAAGGACAAAACCCCAAAATGCAACGTATATTGACTACGAGATACTTCCTCTCTTCAATCATATTTATCCAAAATGATGGTGTTTGTAGTCGTTGTTGGCGTAAAGGAGAGACTTACCTCAACCGGAATTCTAAACCACAGCAACGACAACTATTTCACACTTCAAGATCTAAGTAGTTTTCACCAGTTAAGATATAGCAAGATGCATTCAGATACTGGGATTAATAATTGATGTGATATCTGTAAAGGAAATCGAACACAAGTGACAAAGAATGAAGAGTGTTATTTAGGTGTTCCTATTTTGAGAAAACTGTGATCAAAGATTATCTTTGAAGCGATTTAAGTTGTATACTGTTGTTGCAATATACGAAAATGGCAATGTCATTATATATCATTGATCTCAACAAAACACAGACCATTGTGACCTATATGTTAAAATATTGTGTGACCACGCAATATCAAACGGATATTCCGTAAATAAGACACATCGAAGATTTTCCTTTTTTCTCAAACACCTTTCCACATATTAGTTGTTTTATTGCACTGTGAAAATATTATTGTTAACCTTTCTTATGGAAATATGACACATTTTGTTTTTAGTTATTGGTTACCATGGATAGTCTCAGTGGTTATATCCTTTGTTTTGTCATACTATCTGAATCAGCTGTCTCTATTACCATATAGCGTCCAAGTGCATTCTAGTTATACTTCAAAGTTCAACAATTCTTTCAAAGTAACAGTAACAAATGAATATCGTATGAATAAGACTAATGAAAAGGCATATCAAGTATCTACTGTAAAAACAAGTATTCCCACACATGGAAATGATCTACTGACCCCTATTCAACTAAAGGACTTCGGTAAATATCCTAAGAATCGTAATAATAGTCTACTTTTCACTATTCATAGAGTATGATTATGATGATATGGATTATCCGGTACCTTTCAACAAGCTGGTTTCGGATATCTCCAATCGATATGTTAATTATGGAGTAAAGATAGAATCAGTTCCTTTCGTTCTAACAGGTGATATACCCAAGTTTGAGAAGCAAACATCAGAAGTGTTAATGATGACTGGAGCATCTGACAACCATGCTTTGGGATCGATCAATTGTCTCTTCTCTATGGTAGTAGCAGATCCGTATGCTTCTTATATGTATATCGATTTGGGATTATCTACAAGATTCAAAAACATTTTGTTTACTCATTTCAATACAATTCATCAAATCCAAAAGAAAATGAACTCGACTGGATTCATTGCATATCGTAAATTCAAGTTCAACTCATTTCCAGCATGGATAAAGCTTGCAGGAAACAAACAACAACGAAGCGGATATGCATGGAAGGTAATTCCATTAGGAGATGCCTATTTTGCTTGGAAAGGCATTGTTCTTTGGCTAGATGGAGGAAGCTTGATTCGCGAGGGAATAAGTCGTGAATTGACAAATGTTCGGATGGATGGAATTTACAGTCCATTATCTTCAGGTAATCAACAGAAATGGACTTATAATGCTACATCAGATTTCTTAGTACGAAATCATTTGATCGATCGATTTAACCCCAGGGATCCAAATGCATCTGGAGGTCATCTGATCATCTATTGGTCTAACAAAACTGTATTGAATAAGGTAATGATTCCCTATTATCAGTGTGCTTTTACCCAAAAATGTATGTCACCTCGCGGATCCAGTATGAAGAATCACAGACAAGATCAAGCAGTGTTGTCTGCCTTTTTGAACAATTTGAAAACAGAACGGTCTATGAAGGCAGAATTTTGGGCAATACCAGGATTGCGATTAGAGAGTGGAAACGATTTTGAAAAGTGTAATTTACTGTTGGGTAATGAACTAAAAACCTTACAGAATATTTTCCAGATAAATGTGAAAAGCGATTTTATTTCCAAAGAGAAAGTGAGATATTTTAGAGTGATAGCAAAATACTCATCAAGGCATTCTGATGATGAATGGAATCCTGAAGAGTAGCACGTGGATCATAATATATGCGTGTAATAGGGAAAATGAAAACGGGAATGATATTCATAGTTGGAGTGTAAGGTAAAGTAAAGGTTTTTACTCTATGCTTTGTAATAGTGCAATATATAGTGATTCCTGTTTAATTGGTAGCAATGCTTCTATTTACAATAGATATATATTAATGTAATAACGCCTGCTTGATATAGCGCTTTTCATTTCCTTTTTCTGTTTTTTAAGAAAACGTTGATAGTTCACTATTATTATTACTCTTATTGAAATGGATAGAAGTTGTAATCAATAGTCTCTGCTCTGATGCAAGTAATTTGTGGCGGAAACATACATATGATTTTGTGTTAAGTGTAATGAACAATGCTACAAGACAATTATCAGCTTAATATTCATTCTGCATTGCCGTGCACTATGTATGTTCGATAATAAGACCGATGCAATACATGTTACATATTGATTCTAGAACCAAGTTAGCACATAATATATTTCAAAGAAGTGCTGATTACATAATCCTTTTTTAGATATATATCATCTTTTATGTAATCCATTATAGAACAGTATAATCATAGAAAACCATTACATGCTCATTTACGAAATTAGCTGTTGAATCACAACAAGTAAATACGACGAAATGCCTGACTAAGTAATATGCATAGTATTATTCGCATTCATCTTCCTTCTAAAAATATGATTGTAATTATATATATATTAAAATAGGATCGAGCACACTAGTATCTGTTATGTAAACAATACACGTCAAATAATGAAAAACAAAAAATCGAACTCTATATGATGGTAATCTATAGTCTATACATTATATTGTTGTCAACAGAATTGTGGAGTTGACCCATCGAATGATCGCTACTAAATAGTGTAATTATTTATTAGTTAGTAATTGTGGCAGCTATTGTATCAAGGATTCTTATTTTGGTTCGATAGAATGATTCTTCACTAACTAACGAAAATAATTTATGAGAAGCTATCTATGATCTACTACATGTAAAATGGCAAACATAGTGCATCTAAATAATAATACTATCAACGAAAAAACAAAGCAAAGATCACAGAAATACAGCATGATTGCAGAAACGGACAGCTGTAGTATGAACATACCAAGTGTAGTTCATTCTATCTAAAACACAGTGATTTCCAAACTTTTCCAGTATTGCATATATTGTTTTTATTATTTGCCGGTACTTATAGTATTTGATGACTCGTATTCATTATTGAATCTAAAAAACGAATATATAATAACTTGACAGAAGCGAAAATGACTTCCTGCTAACAATAAGTACCGCAATGTATAAGCAAATTAAAATTCAGCTAGCATCGATGTATTATGATTCTGTAATATCTTGAAAAACACTATTTTAAATCCTAATAATCAGATATTCTGTATATAATTTCGTACTGTGAAATAACTAATTGCAACTTTTTATGATCCACATAAAAATATTTATACTAAACAACCTCTATTATCATATCAACTATAAAACGAAAGAATACATATTTAGTGTATGACCTTGAAATATGTGTTTATGCCCAATATAGAGTCCTTAATAGTTTCTTCCTTGTCTATCTATCGATGTAAATATGAAGCATAATTCAAATCAAATATTCTCTCGGGTTATTTCTATCATTCACTAATGCCATACAATTCACATCGTTTATAGATAGTAAAATGTATTAAGTCTATTCTCTTCAGATACTCACTTCTATTTCCAATCATAATACTGTTGGCTTACTAATAATAAAGAAGTCATTTGTAAAATAGATATGTGAAAAATATTTTTTAGCAACCTGTAACATTATCATTTTCACTAATTCAACTGGACTATTTTCATAAACTTGATAGTATTATATTTGATATTAGTTATGCATTTATTGTTATTATTAATCTTGTTATACATTTAACAAATAACACGTTATATTCATTTTTACTTTTGTATGATTCATGAATATGGCAATGAAGTTACCGTCAACAGTGTTATTATATATTACTTTTACATTCATTTTCCTAATTACTATCAATTTTAAAATATATATGTAGGGTAATAATCGGGAATAACAATCTAGAAATGGTCAAGTCTCTATATTATCGAATTTGCTTTTTTGTCCTTTGTGTTGTATCCAAGAAACAAGTAATTTGTTAATACACTTACCCTATATAGAAAACAGCGACAACTTACATAAGCCAGTGTCTCTTTTCTACAAAGAGAATACGACTGACAAGAGAATTGACATAGTTGATTTAGAAAACCCATTCAAAAGAGTTACATCCACTACCACGAATACAAGTGATATTGGGAATTCTACTGGGAATATTGGTGAAGTTATTGATATAGAAAGAAATAATCCATTAAATCCAGGTTCAAGTGAACAGCTATCTTCTGTAAAAGAATATCACAGCAATAATAATATTAATAAGTTTAGTCTACTCGATATTCGAAAGATTTGGAATTGTATAAAGAGCTATTATGTGGTTTCTACAACTACCAATAAAGGACTATCATCATCGCATGGTCTGTATCCAGATTTGAGCGTACGTTCTTTTTCGACCTCAAATAGTGTATTGAATTTCGTTTCAAGACTTTTGTTTCATTCCCAGAATGAACTTTTATACTCAGAGTCTTCCTTTGATACTAAAGGATTGTCCTCAGTATCAATTCCTTCAAATCAACAAACAATCGATACTAATTCCAGATTTTTTCCTTTTTCAACAGAAGCTGTTTCATCTTCAGTTCCCAGTAATGTTGATCGTACTACGTTTCTCATGAGTCTTTACCAGTCGCCTCTAACTTATTCTACTGGTAAGTCAGAATGTTCTTTTGAAATGAATGGTACTTCCCTTAAACTCTACAAGAGTGATTATTCCAGTTATTCTTTCTCTTCAGACGATGAGTGTGATAAACGAAATCGAAGAATCGATGCAGTATTACTTGAAAAAGAGAAAGAAGAGCATAATTCGACCGATTACAAATTAATGCTAATGCAAAACAAAGAATTGGATGGCCTTTTCCCGGAAGATCACATTTCGGTATACTATTCTGTTTTACACTTTCGTGCAATTCACAAAACAGAAGGCGATCTTGTATCAAACCTGACATTACAATGGAGTCAAGAAGAATGCTTCCGTCCAATTCTAGAAAAATATGACTTAGTTCATTTGTTACTCGAGTTTAAGGAAAATGATTGGATACAAGATGTTCGTGCAGCAATCAGTAACCATACTGCCACTTCGGCTCTGATTGAACAATACCATGATTTTCAAAGTGTACTCATAACGAGAAAGTTACAATTGCGCTCTGAGTTCTATAATGTGAGTCATTACTCGGATAGTCCAATCCATTGTGATGGATGTGATATTCCAAGAAACCAAAAGAAGGTCAAAGCAATATTGAACTATCAGAACGGCTTGCTCATCCGTAAATTTGTGGGGAATGAGGAAGTCGAATATACAGATACGCGTAATCATTGATGGATTTCTCTCTGAGATATAGCATGGTTTCCTTCCAACGATCAGAAATACGATGTAACCGCCATTGTCACCGCTTTTGGATACAATCGTTTGTTTGCACTACGTCAATTCATGTATCGATATCAAGGGTAAATATGATCGATTTTCATGTTCATTGTAGACCGATTGTTCTTGTGATTTATGCCACATCGACCCAGGAAGTCCACCTTGTGCGTTACATTTCAACTCACTTCATTCCCAAACGTGTTACAATTCTTTTTTATCTAGTCAGTCGTTATCTCAAATCCAGTACTGTGTTTCCTATTAATCGCTTACGAAATCTTGCTATACGAAACATTCGAACCACTCATTTCTTGATTCTTGATATGGATCTTCGATTATCTTGTATTTGTCATCTTCTTTTCTCATTATCACTAGTAAATACTTATAAGGAAGTCATGAGTCTTCCACAATTCCTCTATCATAGCAATCGCTCTGCTGTTATTCTCCCCGTGTTTTTCTATAAAGGCAAACAAATATTGGCTCACTGTTCTACAACCGAAAGTTGTTCTTACTTGTATGCAATGTTCAATCGTTTGTGAATAGATCGAATTGGATTCAACCAGAAAACAAATTGGAACTGATTGAATGTATCAATCGGAAGATTTGCATATCAAATAAGAACAACATTCGAACTCATGTTGAAATTGAATGTACTCTCTAGCATAGATGTATGTAATGCCAGAATGGTTTACAACGTCACAAGAATCGCATGTATCTCGAGTTCGCTGTTTTATCACCAATTTCATGGAGCCGTAAATATGAGTTGTTTCTGTGATTCTCTATAGATATTTGATGGTGAAATACTCTCCCACACTTCCTCTATTTGAGGAAAGATTTGTGAACTATGGATATAACAAAGTGCAGTATTTTGAGCATCTTCGCCAAGCTGGTTTTCAGTTTTATATATTGAATCATGCTTTCGCAATGGACTTTCCACATCCTGAGTAAATCATACTTGTGATCAATAATCGTAGTTCTGGGTTTCGCAGAAAGTATTTAGGAAAGATGCATGTTACTAACGATATGAAGGAGGTCTATAATGACCTACAAATGAGATTGAATGAGCAATATCGATCAGTGACAAATTTCCCCGTGTGTTTTAAAAGACAAGAAGCTTATTATGAAGAGCTTATTTAGTGCGTGCATGTGTGTGAACCTATCTTGTTGAATATGAAATAATAAACCAATGATAAAATGAATCACTCATAAAAGGAATATACCCGATTGTACATGATTAGACATTGTTTTGTGGGTGTGATTTCCAATAGAAATTGGGATGGATACTCGTGACAAGAAATATGGAATGTGAACGAAACGAAACAAACAAAAATAAGATTAATATACTCAAAATAGTATTCTCTGTAAGAGAAAACAGAATCATGTAGAGTGATATTGAATTGGAATACCAAAACAAATACACTTATCTGCTTACATGATTATGCAGCGATAAACTATTAAACAAATATAAAAATCCTACTGTAAATATTCTCTTGAATAACCCATATCGCGATAAACAATAGTACGTTCAAGATAGATAATTCATGTTGATGTCTTCAGCACAGGTAAAGAATGGTCAGAGAGAAAGTTTAATCCTATTTAGAAAAGAGCATATTCTAACATCATTATCGTTCAGCATGTAAAAATCCTTTAATTGTATACATTTAGTAAAAATAATACAATTAATACCAGATTTACACATTTTGAAGCCAATCTAAGAAAGAATACCTTGTTCTAACCTCTCTTGCTGTTTTCGGGAAATATACTTGAAATATTGAGTACATTATGATTCTCGATGATACAGACTGTATTACAGAGACTTCCTGTCATGTCGTCTGCATTTGTGATAAGCACTCCGAATTGGAAAAGTTACTTCACAAGTCAATTCGAATGGTCATTATCTGTGAAAGAATCGCTTGTGTATCGCAGTAACTGTATAATTAATCTGTTTTTTGTATTTCATCTTTCTCACATCGATCATTAGCTTGTACATAGAATCTAAGCACAAGTTTTTAGATGAATGTCGAAATACACTAGTCACTGTCAAGAATTCTTTAATAATGTCGACAAATCACCAAAACAGCAAATGCTTATATTTGATGTTTTCGAATTGACATTATTCTAGATTCACTTAAACTTCTATTTGACGCCCAAAGAAATATTATATATGATGAACAAGAGATATTGGAGTGATACCTGCGATTCGAATCGAAATAAACCCAAAAGCACGTGTGATGGAGTTAGAATGTTGCTTTTCTATAATAGTGAATTGGATCTATGTGAAATAAGTGAAAGGAGATCGAATGCAAAATAAACTCATTATTTCATGTTTTTTATTGCTTATAGAGGGTGTTGTACCAGATTATACAACAACACTTCAATGTTCTAGGAAGTGGGATCAATATGACTCAAATATGTTCATGAGATAGCGATAGCATTTAAAAGCACATTACCATGTTCATGAAGATGACTTATGGAGAAATGAGAGGGTATTACCACATTGCTCTCTTTTTATCTATATTCGCATTATTCATGACATCTAGAACTTGATTGAGATATTTTTTTGACGGTCATAGGTCAATATGGAGATTAGAAATGTAATAAGAATATTCAAACAATTTCACTATTTTTGGTCACGTGATTATTGAAACTTAAAAAAACGAGTTAACAATAGTGAACACATATAATTTATGTGTTTTTGATACTAAATACTATCTCTTGAGCAGTTTTCGGTGAGAATCTGCAAATCAAGCATGCTTGCTTCAACTAAAATAATAACACCATTTTAAATTGATTTTACATGTAACACTTACAACTTGAATGAAAATATGATAATTATTTGAAGTTACGTCAATCCACAACATCTTAGGATATGTGAATTGAATCGCAATGCTGTTGAAATGCTATGATCAATTCTTTTGTAGCTTTTGTTACTTCTCGAGACTACTACTTGCATTTTGTTTTTGAAATAGGCTTATCAAACATCATGTTTTTCAACCCTTGGAATTGAAATATCATAATAAATAACTAAAAGAGAATCTGTTGTATTGGAAAAATAGAAAAATGAGTTATTTAGTTTATTCTTTATGATTCCCTATTATTCAGGAATAGCCTTCTTTGTTTTGTTGACTTTATTCTCGTGTGAATTGGGAATGGTATTATGCTATTTTTCTAAAAATAGCCAATTCACTCTACGATCACCCTCAATTCGGACACGGTTGCCTTGTTCTACTTTAGCAAATTATTCTTACTTCGCAGAATTAGATGATGACTATGGAATGAATGATGTTTATGTCCAGAATTTGAAGGAGATTCCAAAACTAGAGCCACTCAGTAATGAAAAAGAGTGCTTCCATCGTTTGGTTCCTTATCAACTCAACCCATGTCATCATGCAACTTGCCAGACTTCAGAGGATCTACATTCGTTTTTTAACAAATACAAGAGTGATTTGTTTTTTGCCTGCCATGATCGTACAACATTTTCTCATTGCCAAGAGTTTTATGTAATGTTGTATGATACAAGAAAGAGAATGTGTTCTTCGTTCCAGAGAATGCCTTGTAGATATTATTGGCTCATGTATTAACACTAGACAATTCAAATTCCTTTGACGACATCACTCTAATCACGATTCTGTCTCTGAATAGACAAGATAGACTTCCCTATTTAATGAAACGATGGAAGCATCGAATCATGATGAGTATTATGATAATGGAATCGGAGTTGCATTCAACGATCGATCTGATTCAAGCTTATGAGCACTATCGTCAAATTACTTTCTTATTATATATTATCAAAGACCAACCATCGATTCAAAGTAGAAGCATATTCTATGATACAACAGGACCGTCGTATTCAGACGAGACGATCTTTCCTATCAATCTGCTAAGAGATTTGGCCATTGAGTCAATCGAAACCACACACTACTTTGTTAGTGACATCGATGTTTTCTCTTCAGAGACATTGTATGATTCTTTGATGCTACATAATAAGACTCTACGTGATCCAAAAGCAGTATTATTGCTAAAGTCATTCCTTATGAATGAAGAATACATTGATCACGAAGCATGCTATACGGAGGGACAATGTACATATATGTAGTTAGAATACACATGACTGTGAAATGTAGATGGGATCAAGTTCCTCGCAACAAATCAATGTTGATTGCTGCTTACAACAAAACTGTAGTTCAGCATCCAACCATTTTTCATGTATCTGCATATTGTGTGTATTTATTAATATAGGATATTGTTGATGTTGATTCCATGCTTATGGAGAAGCGTAACAAACTTTTACCATACAAAGCAGATCACGTGATGGAACCTTACTCGATTATTCGTCGGTCTAAGGATAATCCTATTTTTCATCCATATTTTATTAACTATGGTTTTAACAAGCAAGAGTTGATGAATCGAATGACTTTTTTGAGTCCATGTATTTGATTGAATTGATGCTTAGAATTCCACTATTATGTCATGCTGAACGAGTTTTGTATAGAGATTCCACATAAGCGCACAAAGATGTCAAAAGAGTATATGTCACAAAAGAAATCAAACTATGACAAAACTCTACAAATGCAAAAACTAGCACGTCTCTTTAGGTCAACATATGGTAATTTAAAATCAAAACGCCATTGATAGATGAGATAGTGTTGTTTGTTTTACACAAATGTTTGATACTTCAACAAATGGTAATATCAATAGGAACAAAGTGAAAAGGGTTATATCACCTTCTGATTATTACTATCAATAATATATATATAATACTGTAAATATACAGGTGGAAAAATATAAAATAAGTTAAAGTTGAATCTGAGATATAAACACTATTTCCTTGTCTATTCCATTTATTTAAATCTATATTGTCTTTCTTGAGTTTTAATGTTATACAGGATAAATTATATACCGTTACTGTTATATTTCTTGGCAATGTAGGAATTGTGTGTTTTTCTTATGTAGTAATCTCTTATTTGATTCATCTATACACTATCGTTATCATCATTTACTGTAAATTGATTATCACTAAACTACTACGTGTAGAGGCCGAAGGGACAGTTCTGTGTTTACATTCCCTCATGTGAGAATAAACATGGAAGAGTACTAACTGAATTTGGGCAATTGATCGATAGTTCGATTCAAAATGACACAAGTACTTCCCTTTCACAGAATGCATATAAGCTTCTAACAAGGAGAAGTATTAAATTCTACCAAAAGAAATACGAAATATCAACCATTTTGCCAGAAATTGACCCTGTTTTTTTGCTTGGGTAAATATGAAGCAACTCGATGATTTGTGTAGTTATAAGGTCGTCAATAATCGAACGAATCTACCGTCGGAGAATGAAATCCAGTCTACCCATGTTTTTAATCTGTAGTTTGAATGAGAGTGTTTCTTAACCTAGTTTGCATGATGGTACAAGAATCTTCTATTTGCCAAACTTAAAAGGAGTCGGAAACAGGCTTCAAATCTTCAGCGGATTGTATGTCCTATCATATCACTATCGAATACCAATCGTTAGTAAGTTCATTCTTTATAATACATAAATGACTAGTTCCATTATCAGCAGGTTGGCACCAAGTGTGGAATATCAAACAATCATTTCCAAATCAAATCATTTATATTTGTGATGATGGTTCGAGATTATTGCATGTTATTATAATAATTGTAGATGCTCATGAACTAGCGTATTACGCTTCTTTCTATTATTTATCGGTTTATGAAAGACTTTCGAGTGATAATCGTGCAAACTTTACGAGTGCCATATTGAATAGCACGATTTCTTCCATATTCCCTACTCAAATTACGGCAGTCAGTGGTAACTTGCTTACTATCAACATGATTGCTATGACTTCATACTACAACAATACGCTAACAAAATTGGGATTCAGAAGTCATCATTACAACTCAGCAATTGATGAACTTACATATAATTTGTATGGTGAGTTTCTGAGGA